CCAGACTGTGGGGGCGATATGCTGACTCTGTAAACCGCTTAGAGAGGGTTGATAGCCCTATGAAGCAGTATATAAGTTTAACTGCTATTGCTATTGCTAACTACATTGGCTGAGCTCTTTGGAGTTAGCATATTCAATGATATTGAGAACTAACAATCATCCCCCCCCTTCATTCTCATGCTAAAAAGTTGCTGGCTCTTAAACATTGGAAGGATTAAGTTCCCTTTTAGCACTTACCTACATCATATTGGTTTGAAGCTTATAAAACATTATGTGAAAGCCATATAAGGATTTTATATAATAGAACTTGAAAAAATGCTAATATTTTTGAAAAGGATTTTAATTCTTTAGGACACCTAAATCCCTCTCATAGATACTACTTTTGAGCCAGGTACTTCCTATTCGATATCTATGCAAATGGTTTTTCCTACCTTAGGGCAAGGATCTTACCTTTCTCACCACTGAACTAGCCTTGTTAGATAGGTCCCAATGGTCAAGTCTTTTGCCTAAAGGCAATTGCAAAGAAGGAATTAAGTACTTTCTCCCTGTCTGTTTGACCTGTCACAGGATAGATTTTTGCAAGTCTGGATACAGAAGGTAAAACTGTGAAGGAGATTGTTGGCATAGGCAAGAATGAGGAAGAACAGCAAATAAAAGAACAGCAAATAAAAAACAACAAAATAAATACAAATAGCATGATATTAGGTTTTATGAGTTACAGAATCCTAAGTATAGTTTGAGGTAAGTAGTGGCAAATATTCCTTCTGAACAAATACTAAATGTTATTCTTCCCTGAATTCACATTTGCTTTTAAACAATTTAAAAAAGGTTAATTACTGATTTTATTGGGATTGTGTAAGGGTAGCGGTGGGAATGCTTTTGGTTTCTAAAGGTACTTTGATACAAGAATAAAAGCACATCCTCATACACAAACTGATGTTGTCAGGTTTAATCACAGGCTGTCTTGTCTTTTGTTTTTCCCTCCTTCATGTTTCTTGTCTTGTATATTCCATTTTATTCAGATATTTAGTGGATGATGAGGCCATTCCTTTGATTTTTCTATTTTTAGCTCTCAACAAATTTGCAGAAAAATTCGATAAAACTTTGTAAAGGAAAATGTGCAATTTGCAACTGAAAGCTGCTTTGACAGCTCAGAATATAATTACTTTGAATACAACAAACTAGCCCTATTACTTATTTTTAAAAAAATTCTGAAGCAGTTTAAACTAGAAGTCTATTTTGTTTAAGTCTTATCCGTAAGAGCAAAAAGTAAGAAAGCAATTAAATGAAAGGACTGGTTTGGAGTAATCTCCCAGGACTTGGAGAGTTACAAGAGACCTAAGTTTAGAATCATCATACAATTGTTACATTAATTTTCTTAGAAGAGTAATAAATATTCTAAATTAAAGAAAGTTGATTACAAAAGAAATAAAATGGCCCTATCTATTGGAACATTTAGCTTAATTATTTTTCATGTCATCTCTCTCTGGGTCCCTGCAAGTAATGCTGAACTACAATTTTGAATTTAATTCCTAAACACATGGGAAATTCTGGGAGATTCAAAGTGCCTACTCTCCTTCTGATAAACTCTGAAGATCTGGTTCTTCCTCCAGGCCTTGGATTAGGATGAATGGAGGAAGAGGGGGTAGGCCTGTGTGAGAGTTCACTTGTGGGTCATTCCTTCCAGGTAGGCCATTGTTATGTAATTATTTTTCATTCTCTGTTTGCCCAGACTAATTTGGAGTCAGGTGCCCTTATAAATATGTCAAATAAATAGTATCCTCCCAAATCTCGGCAGAGCACCAGATTAACACATACTACTAGGTTCTCCATTGGAATTTTTTTTAAAAAAGGATTGTAGTTCAGCATTACAAAGTGAGGGAGGTATACAGGAATTGTTTTCACTACAACTGAGTAGACATATAGCTTATTGTATAACATATTACTCTATATTTATTTACTTTTTTGTTCCTTACCAGAATTATGTATGGAACTAAATTGCAAACCATAGACCAGCGTAATATTTAAAAAAATGCATAATTTCATAGTTTAAACTAGAAATAATCAGAGCAAAGTTAACATGTACCATTCTGAGATAAAATGTCACTATTGTTACATTTATTAGGATATTGATAGATTCTGCTACTCTTCATCAGGAAACAGGTTTCAGAAAGCAGAATGAAGAAAGAAGAATGAAATGAGACAGAGATGATGAAATGGAGGAAAATATGCAAAATTGAATAGTTTAGGCTCTATTATGAATTACAGTATTCAGGTTATGTTAGATGAGCAGAACTAATCCTCCCAACCACATAATCTAGTTGTTATTTGGATATGTCTCTAGTCTTAGATGAATACATATATTCTCTTGATAGGTAGTGAACTAAATGTAAGTCATATTATTACGTTTAAATAGTATGTAAAGAATGATTGGCCAAGTTCTCAATACCATTGTCTCTCTAATAAGCAATGGTAATAATTCTAAAGAATTGAAAAACAAAGTTAAAACACTATCCACAAATTAAGTCAAAAGTCAGCCACTTCAATACAAAAAGGTTGCACCATAATTATCTGAAAAAAAATCAGTCTTAAATTTAAGATACTTCCCTTCCCCATTCCCCCACCAACAACAACCCTAAAGGCAAACAGACAAAAAAAACTACAATGTAGGCAAAAGACCCGTGCCATGATGAGTTTCTTTACATAGTCCAGTAGAGGTACTAATTCTATTTGAATTAGTTCCTTGATAAATGAGTGTAGGTGTCACATATATATGCATATAGCTTTGCCTGTATAACTATCAGAAACTTTACTTGAAAAAAATAACAAAGATAGGACAAACAAAAAAAAGTAATTGAATTAATAATTACTGATTATTAATTGCTGATTAAGCAAGGTACTGAATTTATAGCATTTATTATCTTAGATGCATATACCAGCCATTATGTTTTGGTACACACAAATCATTCCTACACAGAAGCACACAAACATACCTTTCTACTTCCAGAGAAACAACAAAGGAGAAGGAAATAGATGGAGATGAAATGAGGGGAAAGAGTAGCTTCACACAGAATGAAAGAAAGAGAAATCCTGCTTAGACTTTAGAAAAGGGATTAAAATTGATCATGAAAACATCTTCAAACAAATCTTCAAAGGTATCCATGCTTTTCAGCAGTGATATCTCCAGTCGCATCATCTGACCATTTTTTTGTTCTCAACAGCAGTTTCTTTTCTTTTCATTCAATTCACAGGTAAGTATTTGGGAGGAAAGCTTTCCTTTCTTGATGAAAAGCGTATGCAGGTTTTGAAGCATCATATACACTGGAGATGGATATAAAACAGCCTGAGCCAAAAGTACAGTTATGGGAGGACTTTGTGATTAACGGTTTTAGTGTCTCCATTGTGGAACCACAAATGCTGAAATGATTCCAGCTTTGGAGATTTATTCAGGTTACAGGTTATGCCCATCTTGCCATAGGATTTTGCTTACTTTGGCATCCCATTTTGACCTCTAGAGACTGGGTCTGAATTTTCAGACTCTTCTAGCTGCAAAACAAGGAAAGCAGTGGACAAAGAGAGGGGCGAGGTCCCCTTTTCAATACCCAGCTGACAGAAGTTAAGAAATGCAGAAATGAAAACCAAGTGAATTTCAAAATGTTATTTTTGCCATTTTGGAATTAATTGAGGAAACAGACGGGTAGAACTCTTTGTTGCAAACTTACTACCTCTGATGGTGTTATAGTGTTCTTTTGGGCCCTTTTTATATACATGGAGCCCAAATCATCCCATGTTCATATTATCTCCATGAATATTTTCAAAATTACAGTGCAAGTCCTCTCTTTCCCCTGCATTACAACTTCTGGAATAATAGCACTGCTAGACTGGAACCTCTACTTTGTTTTGAACTTTGCTGTTTTGAAGAAACAGTAAGGATATAGTTTAGCATGATTTTAGAGGTGGGAAGAAGTTGAGTGATCATTGTAGAGTGTCCTTTTCCAACTAACCAGTTCTTTTAGATGAGTTGGACTTTAATCTCCTTAAGCAGATCACGTCTGGTCTGCAAATATCTGGATGCCCACTGGATGGCAACCAACTGTTCTTTGCTCTTTACTGGACATCTGGAACATTGCAACCCTACCATACTATGCCAGCTCAAAGAATGGCCAACTGAAGAGTCCAATACATATGGAGATTGACTAATCTATGGACGCTTTGGATGTCCTTTGGCTTTTTTTTTGATGACTGGGGTTGCTGCAATGATTAAGTCTATTTCTGTTCAAAAAGCATTAGGCATGTCTCAGCATGATATTCAGCTTAAATCAGAAGAATCATCAATGTTTCAGAGCTTTTGTTTGAATTCCAACATTTCACAAAAACTATCTGCTGCTCTTTCAAGGTTGTAATAACAGAGAGGCGTTCCATTCTGTTCGCTGATTTCAAATGCTTTGGAGGACTGCTTGAGGTATTTTACTGCTGAATAGTAATCATTCATCCAGAAAAGCATTTTAAATGGCCCAACACTAGTATTTTGAAGACGTATTCACAGAGAAATTAAACTGCAGTATAGTTTGAACAAAATATAGGAATATTAAATTGTTTCACACATAGACACAATTCACTACTCCCAAAATCAAAGAAGTAAATGAAAAGATATGAAACATTTAACCTGACCAACATTCGTAAAGTCCTCAGATTTTAATGATATAATAATCCCTTCCCTTAGAAATCAAAATATTTTTTTAAAAGCTTTAGGAAAACATAACCAGGTGAGAGATGTATATAGATGATTTTTAACATAATAATGATTTTGGGAAAGACAAACAATAAGCAGAGATCTGTATAAAGTCCAATTTGACTTTGAATTTGGCATGCTTGTCTACTAAAAGTCTGAGTCCATGTCTGTGTAAAAGTGTCCATTAAAGAAGCCTCTAGCATAGGAAAATATTCTCAATTAAGAGTTTCAAAGAAATTTAATAGTTTTGCTTTTTTTTTTTTGGCAGGATAATTGAAGCAATTTGCATCGGCTGGTTCACGGCAGAGTGCATTGTGAGGTTCATTGTCTCCAAAGACAAGTGTGAGTTTGTTAAGAGACCACTGAACATCATTGACTTGCTGGCTATCACTCCGTATTATATTTCTGTGCTGATGACAATTTTTACAGGAGAGAATTCTCAGCTTCAGAGGGCTGGAGTCACTTTACGGGTTCTGAGAATGATGCGGATTTTTTGGGTGATTAAATTGGCCCGCCACTTCATCGGCCTCCAGACACTCGGCCTGACTTTGAAGCGATGCTACAGAGAGATGGTGATGCTGCTCGTCTTTGTTTGTGTTGCAATGGCAATTTTCAGTGCTCTTGCCCAGCTTCTTGAACACGGACTGAAAATAGGAAAACCCAATGAAGGTTATGCAAGCATTCCTGCTGCTTGCTGGTGGGTTATCATCTCCATGACCACAGTTGGTTATGGTGATGTTTGTCCTATCACGGTACCTGGAAGGATTCTTGGAGGGATTTGTGTAGTCAGTGGAATTGTTTTGCTAGCCCTGCCTATCACATTCATCTACCACAGCTTTGTACAGTGTTACCATGAGCTCAAGTTCCGGTCTGCTAGATATAGCAGGAGTCTTTCTGCAGAATTTTTAAATTAACAAATAGCACATATTGTATTTCATAGCAGAACTTAATATATTGAAGAAAGTAGTAAGTTCTTCTTCATTGTTTTCCATTTTGGTGTCTGAGGAATTATGAAGCTGGTACAATACTCTGTGACTTAAGAGGAATATCTCCCTGCTCTGTTTGAGGGATGGTCATTTGCTCGTCAGCACAGAAGAGCTGAGATTCATAAGGGAGAAAACATCTTCATTTATATAGTCTCAGCAGGTGTGAAAGTTTCCACACTCATTTCTCCAAATGCTGAGAAGTCCTAAATGGTACACACTATTTAGAGATGACCGCATATATGTGTTTTTAAAATACTCTTGATTTTGAAACCCATATCAATAAGAAGTGTCCAACCTTTAATTACCAGGGCCACACGTAACAGCCTGTAGATAGTCAAGGGCCAAGATATTGGGGATGCAAAAGGACAGAGCCAAGATGTTCCCCCCTTCAAAGTTTTGATCAGAAAGAAAGAATTGCTGTTGTTTTTTAAACTGTGGTAAGTCTATCTTAGGGGATTCTGGAGATATATCTCATGTCAAAATGGCAGTAAATGATGCCACCAGAACTAAACAAGTAATGGTTGGGACGGCAAATATATTCTTTCAGCCTTAAATTGCTCCCTTCATAGATACAAACAAACAAACATATTCACCCAAACATATACATTTATTTTAAAAAATTCTGGTCAGATCCAAGTGTATGTAGAAGAAACCAATGAAAATGACTGAGATTCGCTAGCTATCACTATTTTGTCCAATTTATTTCAGTGAATTTTTTCTAAGTGTAATTCAGTCTGGATCTGAAACAATATGTACAGGTCTTGGTTTCAATATAAGGAACAACGTAACTGATATCGTACACTAAGAGTTACAGGGAGAATTGTGATTCTTTATTTTGAAATGAAAATTTCATGTAACTCTTGAAAGTTGGGTATCTTGATTCAATTTGGGGAAGACAAGCTGCTTTTCTAAGAAGAAAAAATTAATCAGAATGGTGGAATACAATTGAATAGTAATGGTAGTAGCAGTAATAGTACTAGCAGTAATGAAGGATAATTTTCAGAGTAGACTCAGTGAAGAGTAGACCCAGTGAAGCTCCTTGGATTGTAGTTTTTTGTTTTATGAGTTGCAATTTATAGTAGGGGTGTTCAACCCTGGCAACTTTAATATCAGTGGGCTTCAACTCCCAGAATTTCCCAGCCAGCATTTTGGCTGGGGAATTTTGGGAATTGAAGGCCACAGGTCTTAAAGTAGCTAAGTTTGTCACTCCTGATTTATAGCAATAGTACAAATGTTTTTGAGAAAAATCATTATCCTCCCTCCCAAAATCTGCTATTGAAGGCAAACACTAAGGCAAATTTAAAATCTTCCTGCTGAAAATTGACATGATATTTTGAAGCACATAATGACCACAAAAGATTTTAAAATATCATATCACTGCTAGTAGCATACATGCTCTTTTTTGTCATCCTTTTCAGTTACAAGTCTTGCACATTTCATCAACAATATCAGAAAAACAAAGTTTGAACAGATACATAATTAGATAAAGGAATGATATTTGAAACACGAACAATGATTTCTATTTCTCATCCCAGTCTCTTGAAAAGTATTTATATTTCCCTCCATTTAATCATATGTAAAATATCCTCCTTAATGTCAGATGCCCTGAGATAAATCATTTTAAAATACTACTATAGAGTTTTTCTCAGAAGCTTATTCAACTAAAAACATACAAGTAAACTCTATCATTTATTTTCATATAAAACAGTGGTTAAAAATTATTCCAAATCCTTTCATTGATTTGAAGAATGAAGAACATGGCAGTCAAACCATTACTGCATTTAATGAGATGCTTTATGGTGCTACTGTCAACTCAGGAAATAATCTAAGTTTCTTAAAGTCAAGTAACTTTGTATTAAAAAATTCAAAGTAAGTAAAGTTTCCAGATTAGAGATTCACAGCTTAGATGAGAAGCTGTCATCTCTGGTTTTTTTTTCTGATATATTTTTCTGTGGGCCTAATTTTTTTCACCTTTAAAAAAAGAGTCTAGGATTCCAATCCTAGTATCTTTTACATGGCAATAAGTCAAAGTGATACAATGGAACCAAAGATGAATTATTGAAGAGAGCTGTCAAGAAACATAACTTCGAACTTTGACAAGTTGATAGATGTTTTCAGGGAGGGTTTGCTATGTGAACTAAACATGACATGCAGCAAACTAAGCTTCATTACTATGAAGACTTGTAAAAAATACCTTGAATTTCCCCATATCACAATACAATACCAGGGCGATGGTTATTGATGAGTTCAGATCCTTCCTGCCCCATGACATGATTAAACAGCCTTGTGCAGGCTTTTGTCTCACAGTTCAAATCAGAGATTGGTAAAAACATTAGAAGGTCCTAGGGGGATCAGGCCACTGCCCATCTTGTGCCCTCTTCTGTCTCACAGAATGAGCAACTGGATAGCTTCAGGCAATAACCTTCATTGACTATTGTTTCCCAGCAACTGGTATTTTGAAGTGTGTTATTTGGGATTTAGAAGGTAATATTTATCTGCTCAGCCTGTCTCACACCCTTAAAAACATTAAAAAATAATGGCCATTACTGTAGTTGAGGGCAATGAATTTCATAGCTTTAACTACCTGTTGTACAAAGAAATTTTCCTTTTATCGATCCTGTTGTGTGAATAAAATAGATAATGCCATAACGCAGACCTGAGTGCCTTGGAGGAAGGATAGATACAATTGTGACAGTAAATATACATAGTTCTCTAGGGAAATCAAACAAATATATACTTGATATATTGAATAATTCTCCAAATTAAATTTTGCGTGGAAAAAGGCAATTGACTGTATTCGTCCAGTTTTTAGAGAAAAAAACCCCAAACCATCTAGCTATATTTCCCCTAAGATTGTTTTTATAATCATGAGCACTAAAACCTTTCCCCCTTTTAATATAATAAACATATTTTGGATTATCACAAAACTTACATCAATTATGTTGCATATCAACTATGTTAATTCAAATTTATTATCTCCAAGTCCAGCAATGGTATTAAAAGAAACATATCTGAATAAACACCCTTTCAAATAATTTATTGACTAAACAAATGAAAATAAAACTCCTCTGATTCGCAAGAGGAGCTGCTAGCTAAATGTAAGTTGTACTATGTAAAATATAGCATGTGTTCTATATTAAATGTAGAACTTATTTTTTTTTAAAAAAACATATTCTTGTACTACTAAGTGGTACTATTTATATGACTTGAAAAGCTGCCATAATGACCTGACTTTGTGCAGAAGAGGAATAAGAAATAATAAGCCAAAGAAATTAACCAATGTGGTAAGAAAAAGGAAAGTCAATATTATAATAATTTAGTTTATACCAGAACCATTCAGTATTTCTCTTCTTATCTTTCTACCCTTGCAAATCATTCTTGTTACACCCCTGAAAATCATTAGACTTCATGCATTGTCCTTTGTTCCTTATAAATCACTTTTAAAGTTCTCATCAACTCTACCTGACCATGACATTTTAAATTTTCCCTTTCCATTGACCCATTCATTTTTCCTTCATATATTTATTTTGAAATTCATTCTTATGACCAAACCAGCTCAACATATTTTTATGCTGTTCATTCACTTCTTACCTTTTCCCTAATTTGGAGAACAATTATGTCCTTCTTCCCCAGGTGCATTTTCACACATGCATTAGGCAAATTACAAAAAATTAAAATGGAAGCTATGTACATCCATATTTTAATCTTTCTCCAATTATACCATCAGAACTTGCAGATTTATCATGTTCTCACAGAGTTTATTAGTTCCATTTTTCTTGGGCATTGAGGGGTTTTCTTTCAACATACTGCTGTCATTCCCATATACTTCTCTAAAATTCTTCTTTCAGGATTCCCACATTTCAATTTCATTCTAAATCAGCCATCAGAATTGCTCTGCATTTTCTTTTCATTTTTTCTAGCTGTTCCTTGTTCTTCTTGATTACAATCTTTGCAACTCTTTTTTCTATTAATACTATTTTCTTATGTGTTAATTTCTCAATCATAGCCTCTTTCACTCCATCATTTCATCAGGCATTACTTTTCATAGCTCCTATATTTCTGTGTTACACGATTCTTTTCATTCAATTCCACAGAGTTTTTACATTCTCTTGATGTATGTTCAATTTCCATTCACTTTGTTAGACATATGTCTATAATATTTTATAGCATTAATTTCTCTTTTTGCAAGTATTTCATTACAAACTTTTTTGCATCCTTACTTTTCTTTCATGTCCATTATTCTATCAATTATCTCATCGTGAATCATAAATAATTATTTCACGAAGACTTTTTAGTCAATCTTTGTTCATGTGTATGCATGAATAGACATGCTTAAAATAAGTATTTATATATTTTTATACTATAATATTCATGACTCTTAGTAGCATGCAAAAATAAAACATCCATTACGAACATAAATCCACTAATAACATTCAGAAATGGAATAATAAAAGCCCCAAATAAAACAACATATATTCTGATAGCATTATTTAACAACAAATCTAGTTTGCTATAATGTAATAAGGTGCTGGACTAGAAACCAGGAGCCTGTGAGTGCTAATCCTCCTTTAGGCACAAACCCCAGCTGGGTGACACTCTAGGCCAGTCTTCTCTTTTGCCCAAGGTTGGTGGAGGTTATAAGGAAAAAAAGTAGGCAGGTGCATTATGTGCAGCATCTTTAATTGTGCAAAATAAAGTCAGAATATAATCATAATAACTCATATTAATTCTAATTTAAAAAAGAAAACTTCTGGAAGGTTACTTTAACTTGCTTTCATCAGGCAGGTCTTATTTCAGAAGTAGCCTGTTGTACTACATGGCAGTATGAGAGAAAACTAGTTCCTCCTAAGATCTATCCCTTTATTTCATAGTCCTGGGGAATTGCCTGTATTTTTATGATGATGTTTATATAGGATGGATTGATCCTACTATTTGAAATAACTAAAAAATTTTCTAAGACATTCCCCATTCTCATTCATTCCTGAGTCTCTGAAGAAGCCAATCACTTTTCTGTAGTTTTGGAGCAGGATTTTGTCACTCATCAATTCATGTCAACTAGTAGAATAGTTCTTTCTCCACAACCCCATTACATTAATTCAGAATGTGGCACAATTTTTCCCAAAGCTCATCACTGGTCCTTCCATTATCATCATTCTCCAAAGCACAAATGTCACCAATCTATGAAAATCTGCTTTCATACACACACAACAGAAACCTAGATGACATTGATGTAACCGCAGGATCAGTAACGGACCCAGATTGGATCCTGCAACATATTCACCTTCATATATTGATATAACTTTCTGACATACACCCATATCTGAAACTACTCCTTCTATTATTCATATGCTCATCAACTACCCAAGATTAGGTCACATTCATTCAGATTTGTTGTCGGCATTAAGATTATGTTTTGCATATCTGCCTTATATTTCAATTTGTGTATGCACCTAAGAAAACAATAAAGTTGTTACATGTCTGTGTTCAGAATATCTGTTCTTTCGTATATATCTTTATCAGCCAGAGACTATTTATTTAATTAACCTGTTTATTATTTATTACTGAGCTTCTGTTACTTCATGTCAGTAAAAGCTGCCTGTATATACAAACTGGCATTCACATTCTAATCTATGAAAAATCAAATGAAAGCAATGGAATAAGAAATGTAGTTGTTTTGCTTAATCATAGAACATTTAGATAACTGGATCAAAAAGACCTATGAACCCCCAAAGCAAATTTCATCACATAAGAAATGAAATGCTAATAATAAAACAGGAAAATGTGATGCTGTGATTATAGATTAGATTTGAAAATCTAGATTTGAAATAAACCTATCAATACCTATCTGGAAATAAATTGTTATTGCATGCAATGAAAAATTCTCTAGAATAAGCATGTCTAAGATTTCCTTGTTTACATAAAGGGGTCAGCAGAGTAACTTAATCTTAAAATACTGAATCTGTCAAAGAAATTTAAAATGTATTTTGATATTGTGACTGATATTTTTTAATAAAGAAATTTGAAACATATGATGATGTTTGTTTTTTCAGCAAGGTTATCTATTTAAATGAATGATATTCAAATATTACCATGTCGTTGCAATGTAAGCTCTATTAGTTTTAGTGAGATGTCCGCTGAAATATATATTAAAATAAAAAACCCCTATTCTTTAATCATACCTGTTCCAGTCTTTATCAAAAGATTTTTGTAGCAACAGGTTGTGCTGTTTTTACAGTGGACTTGTAAAAGCAATGTGTAATTATGTCATCACTGAACAACTTATAGTTTGAATTGCCGTAGGTTTTAAAGTATAAAAATGATTATATGGATTTCATTTTAATATCACATTATTTTGAACAGGAAATTAAGAATTCTTTATGGTGGCTATTCAGAGCAGTGTTTGTTCATGTTTAAGTGGTTGTAGAAGCCAATTGTCAGCTCTTTAACATAAAAAAACCCTTAAGAGTTCCTGTTCCTTTTCCCTCTACCAAAGGTTTTGCTTGTCACTCACCGATCCTGTCCACCAAATTCAGCTCTCTCATACATTTTCTCCCTAAATGAGTTATGGTCAATGATTGACAGTTACTTCTGCAAATGTATGCTTGATTTTTCTTATTTTTATTGCATTTATAAATTTAATAAAATAATTTAAAATGATTAAAGGAAGTAAAAGACTCAGGTAAGCTGCACTTTACTACTGCAACACCTGTATCAGAAGCCATTGAAAAGGATTATGACTCTTAATATATTGCAAAACCTCTTTGGTGAGTGCCTAGTAGTTCAAGTTGATTTATTCCATATCTTCCTCAAAAAGCTGCACTCAAAATCTTATGTCATTTTATTTTGGGTTGCTAACACACTCAATATAAAATGCCTCATTATTTTAAAAGATTTATTTGGATTTCCCCCCACTCTTTTTAAAATACTTAATAGAAGGGAGACATACATGACATTAATAACACATACCCTTTTAAGCTAAATTGGTAAGTACATTCTAAGATCTAAAGGAACACTATACTGCAAAATCTCACTAATATGAAAAGTAATTTTCACCCATTTTCCAAATGTCTTAGAACAAATCCTCTAACAAAGCATAAAATCCGCTCTTTCCTTCCCACACACCTAATAAATACCCTGGCAATTACCATTAATCTTGGATAATCTTGAGTCATGCATAATTGTGTGAAAAATGAACAGGCCTTCTAGAAGATGGTTGTATGCACTCCAAATGCATTGATGGGATCAATCTGAAAAGCATGCCATGGCCAAAACAGAGTTGGTCTACATAGCCTTTGGAATGTAAGATGCTTTAGGTAGGGTGAAACCTATCCAGAAAGAGAAGTAAAACTGACATATAAATACAAATTAAATATATTTCCAGTGTAAAAATAGTGGTGAACGAGTTTGATTAAATGGCTCAGCTGTCCTGATAGAAAATATGCTTTGCTTCTGATCCAGAGTAGGACTTGAATTATAGCGATGAAAACATGATGGAAAGAGGAACGAACTTAATGCATCTCTGTATCTGAGTTAATTCAAATAAGGATTAAAATAGGAAACAAAAATAGCAATAGCAATAGCAGTTAGACTTATATACCACTTCATAGGGCTTTCAGCCCTCTCTAAGCGGTTTACAGAGTCAGCATATCGCCCCCAACAATCCGGGTCCTCATTTCACCCACCTCGGAAGGATGGAAGGCTGAGTCAACCTTGAGCCATTGAGATTTGAACCGCTGAACTGCAGATAACAGTCAGCTGAAGTGGCCTGCAGTACTGCACCCTAACCACTGCGCCACCTTGGCTCTTTTAATTCAAACATCTGAAAATTATAGAAATTGTAGTTCCAACATATCTGGATGGGGGAAATTAGGTTGGCTCAGAATTTGAGATATGGCATAACTAGAGGTAGGTTGCTCCCAGTTCGGCCCGGATTGGGTGAACTGGTAGTGGCGGCGGCGGGAGGCTCCGCCCACCTGCTCAGATGCTTCTGTGCATGTAGAGAAGCATTGCACGTGCGCACAAGCGAACCAGTAGTAAAAAAAATGGAAACCCACCACTGAGCAGAACATAAGGGAGGAGTTGTTTATGTGGATTCAGAAACCTCCCTGATCTATTTAAAATTTCCCAGAGACCTACTAGTATATGGCATTTTGTCTTGTTTTCTGCTATACTGTTTAAAACTGGAGCAAAAAGAACCTGAAGTGGAACAGTTACATCTAGGGCACGGCAAATATTTAAAATTGATCCCCATGTTGATGGATAGAGCTTTATTAGCTACTAACCTGTCTTAAGTCTCTAAACAAAGGTAATGACTCTGGTATGACAGAGGAGGACTCAAAGCTGTCAGAGATAAAAGGTTATGTATGGCTCAGTGAAGCCGCTTCTCTGCTCATGAAATGGGGCAGAAGGGGGAACATAATGTTATGGGCAGCTTTACCTTAAAACAGTATTTGATCTTCTATAGAAGAGAATATATCAAACTGCTTAATCTAAAAGTGAATATGGCAATGTCAGCTCCTGTATATGAACAACTAATGAGTGGCTGAGGACTTGAACCAGGAAAGTTAATTTTCCTAGATGGCTAGAACTCTCTTGCTGTGTTTGGAAAATGAAACCTGCCCCTTTCATTTAGCACAAAGATCAAACAGCAGGATGGCAATTTAAAATAAGAAAGAGGGATTAAGGGCTGTGAGTTCAGCTAGAATGGCTGGAATTATTTGCTATCCTCTAAGAAGGCAGATAGAAACAGGATTTTTCTGCCTATTTCTCCCCTCCTTTTAAATAGCCTTCTGACACGGGCAAACAAAAGCAGAGTTTACAAAGGCACTTTGATTTCCAATGTCCAAATATTCTACTCTTAGAATGGTATTCAATTCAGTTTTATTAAACATGTTGAAATTTACTTTTGAATAGAAACACAATAATAAAGAATTATATACTATGCTATGCATATGCAACTTTATGGCATATACACACGTCTTGCTCCAAAAGTGCATAAATGTAGCCTTATAATTGCTCCTTTCAACAGATTTATGAATGGCTGTAGCAGTTATGCAGCAGGCAAACATTCTTGCTGCAGATAAAGGACATTTCCAATCCCATAATAACTTGTCATTAAGATAATTAATAATTGGCCCAGAATGTGTTGTATTATTTTGAATGCATGAGGAATATTGTAATAATCCACATGTATCTATGGTTGAATATTTCTTACCAATCAAGCAAATACCCTTGCCTAAAAATGAATGGGATTTATCAATAGAAGTCTTAGAAGAATAGTTGTATTCTGTGAGCATAGTTTCAGTTTATCCACATCTATCTATATCTAAACTATCAATTCTTTTATCATCTATCTATATTATTTAGCCATCAATTTCACTAAACGTGGGTTGTGTACAATAAAGCTAAAACTACCTAAATACATACACTACATCATGAAAAACATTAAATACTATAAAAAATAGCAAATCAAGGAAATAATAGAAAAGGGGTTTTAATAATAATAATAATAGAATCACCTAAATATTCACCAATCCCCTGGGATTCCTAGGCTTATTGGCATAATCTTATTGAAAACTGTAATGAGGCGGCTTCCGGGGAGTGGCCTGTCGCCGTCGGCAGCTTAACAGAGCTGCCCCCAAAATTCAGGTTCGTTATCTACTCAATATCAAGAAGATAACTCTTTTTTCAGACAAG